TATATATATATATATAAATCACTAAAAGCTTAATATTTAAAAGTTTTAAAAATGTATAAATTCTATTTGAGCTAGCACAGGATGTATGGATGCAAACTTCCACTTATTTAAAAGATACATCTATTATAACCTGTGCTGGCTCAAATAGATTTTATATATTCTTAAAACTTTTAAATATTAAGCTTTATATATTCTTAGATTTCTTTATTGGAGCCTAAATTGAATTTTAATTTAAAAAAACAAACTTTTTGGATCATGTGTTCTCTCAGGTTTCTCTCTATTATATGTATTTCTCTTTGTTTGAATATGTTTTGAAACACAATTTGAATTCGATATATATTTCAAACATATGGTACGTTATAACTTGGAAAGCATTTTATATTTAAGGCTCCTGGATAATCACTTCAGTCATATTGAATCGTGACGTCATAAGCGAGAAATGATGTTTGAAATGACGTTGATTTTTCTTGCATACCATTTGTAAATAAAGAGAATTTAGATAAAACGAAATGATAAGATTGCTTTAAATAAAATTTAAATTCATCTAAATTCTCTTTATTTATAAATGGTATGCAAGAAAAATCAACATGTCACGATTCAATATGGCTGGAGTGAGTACTCAGGAGCCTTAAGTTTTTATTTGGAATTTTTTCTTGGATGAAGTTCCGAAAGGGTGAACCCTCCTGATTTTCTTGTTGTTTGACATAGTACTGTATTTTGGTGTGCTGATTACGAAAATGGAAGTTGGCGACAGTCATTTTCAAGGTCAAATACTTAAAAACCGATTTTTTCGAAGTCGTGCGCTTCTAAGCAGGGGGGGGGAGAGAGAGGGAGGAGGTGGGAGTTGTTTCGCGTGTAAGTAATAACGCTTAGTCCGATTATGCGGCAAATAACCACGCGAAATGCGCAAAAAATGTAAAAAAAATAATTGTTTTTTAAATATTTGACTTTGAAAATGGCTTTGTCGCCAATTTTCATTATCATATTCGTAATCAGCACACCAAAATACAGTAGTATGTCAAGCGACAAGAAAATCGGGGAGTTCATCCTTTCAGAATTTCACGCAAACTCGTCTTTTCTTTCTTTCTTGTCTGATTTTTTAAATATAATTTATATACATATTTTTATTTACATTTTAATGATATTTATATTATTGTACAATTATAAAAATTATAAAAGTAAAAAAATTAGAAAAAGTAAATTTTAAATTTATAAAAGTAAATTTATAAATGTTAACAACTATAATATAAAGTTGTTGCGTTTTAAAAATTAAAACATGAGCGATTAGATCCTTACAAAATTTATAGCAAAGCATAGTACAGTAACACAACTTTGTCTATTTACGAGATGGAAAGAAGAAAAAGATATAAATAAAGATAAAACAAAAAGCCGCGGTCGCTTCTGGTTGGATAACGAAAATCTCAGGATTGATCAACTTATCTTTGCCTCAGAATTGACCAACTTATCTCGAATTGAAATTACATCTCATTTTTGCATCTTAAATATTTACAATTTCTAATGTATCTCCAATAATCGTTTTAAGAAAAACATCGAAATTTAAAAAAATCGTGCTACTGCATTAATTTAATAGCTACGTTAATAGCTGTTTGGTCATGCTATACTGAAGCCTCGTAACAGCGCGTAGTTCGCTTTGAATTGTAATAATATAACGTAGTCTTATTACATATATTACAACCATGAAACTCCTATTGGGTCCTATTGGAGAGGACGCAGTTATCGCTATTCCTCATTATATTCTTCATCAACTACTACTGCGTTTAACGTATGGAAGCGATTTTGTGCGCTATTTCGAAGTTCCACTGTATTTGATGTTATGAGATCACCGTACTTGATTGTATGTTACGCTTACTTTTGGGCCGTTTCGCGATTTTCTTGCTTCACAGCTGGTCTTTTCCTGGGTGTCTCCACCCAGTCTTTGTCATCTTTGTCTTCAACCCCGCTGGACGATGATTGCGCGTTTGTCGGTGTTGTCGCTACTACTGTTGCTGGAATGTTCGACGACGGTGCCGGTCTTTTGCGCGAAGGCGGACGCGGTGTTATTGCCGCAGGTGAATTATGAGTTTGATTACTAGTTACTGAATTTTCTACGCCACCCTTCATTTGCTTTTCTTGATAACGTTGCAGTTGCAACAATTTCTCTTCTATCTCTGGATTCAGATTCTCTTGTTTTAAAGCATTTTTAATCGCTAAATCAAAAATAAATAAGAGTATTTAAAGCAAGGATGTATGTAAGAAATGTTTCTCGAAAAAATTCCAAAAAAAATTATTAATATAAAAAACATGCTTTTAGAAAATTTTGTGGTATAAGAAATTTTGAAAATTTTTGTATAAAAACACTTTTATACAATTTGATCGATTTTTTGCATACTAACTTTGTTGAATGTAATCTGGAGTTAGTATAAATTTATTCGAAGATGAATCGCTTCCTTCTTTCACGGATTGGGACGATGGTTGTTGTCCATTAGCTATATTTGCCTTTTGTGTGTCATCTTCTGTCACGTTTGCTACACGTCCTACTTGCTGAACGACTACTTTTGGTTTTTCTGTCGATTTTGGTGTTGTCGTTTG